GGGGGGGCTGGAGTTGAGGGGTTGCTGAAAGAATCGAGAGAAGACCCTTCCAAGTATTTCAGATGCTGCCTGGACAATCACCCATCCTTCCCCCAAATGGGAACAGACACAGGATAGACACAGATCCCCGCCCCTCTGCACAAAAACAGTGAAAATGCCCGGAAAAAGCAAACAGTTCTCCCGCTTCCCCCGACCCGGCCCACCTAGGAACATCTAGACCCACCCAGTCCAACAGAAATGGAAGCACCTACAGACCCACAGACTCCTCTCGGGACACAACCAGGCCACACCAATCCTAATTGCTGCTGGCGAGGGCTCGGGCGCCGCAAGACACAGGGGGCGCGCGAGGTCCCGCGAGCTGGCGGGTTCTACCCGAGCCTCCGCGGAGCTAAGTGTCAAGGAAACTTGTGACCAGGTCTCCGCGGTCTCAGTGTAGACTTGCGGGATGAGATTGCGGCTGCGCGGAGGATTGGAGAAAGGAGGCAGGACAGCAAGCCATCCCCACCCTCCACCCACGGGGAGAGGGCCTCTGACCCCTAAATCTGGGAGCGGGTGGAGAGGCAGGGCGACCATCGGCCTGCTATAGATGTGTACCCCGAAGTGATTCTTAACGTTTTGGAAAGCTCCTTGTCCCAAGGGCGGGTGACTAAGGAAGGGCCCGCTGGTCTGCGCCTTCGCCTGCTTTCAGCTGCCGCCACGAGGGTCCTGGTAAAGGGGTGGCAGGGGAGCGTGGCTGGGAGGGTCACTGAGGGGGTTATCTGGGATCCACCAGCGGGAGGGGAGGCCTGTCCCAGAGACAGGGAGAGACAAACCTGGAGCCATGGGGAGTGACATACAAAATTTTATTATTATTTATTTATTATTATTATTATTTATTATTTATTTCTCATGTGCACAATAAAAAAAGAAAGAAAAAGAAAAGAATCAAAACGAACCGACGCGTTTCAAGTGGCCAAGGAGACCAGAGCTATGGGGGGGCTGTCTCTCGAGGGTTCGGCTGGGTCGTGGCGCTGGTGCCCCCCCAGGACTGGAATGGGTCGAGCCTCGGAGTTCGAACCTCGGTGCCCTTGCCGCCCCGCTCAGGCCCCTGGAGCCTGGCTAGGCGCCGGTTGTTCCCTTAAACTATTCTCTTTTCTCGTTTTCCTTTTTAAATAAAAAAAAAGGCTCGAAGGGGAGAGAGATCTGGGCGAGGACGCCAAGCCTTTCGTATTTAAGAATTTTTATTTATTTATTTATTTTCACTTTTATTGACTTTGTTTCTGTTATTTCGAGTCGTCACGATCCACGGGTGAGGAGACATGCAGGAACGCATCGCCGCTACCGAGAGAGCAACTACGGGGCGGGGCGGCCCGGCC